TTTGATAACCGAGAAATCCGTCTGTGACCCGCCCTTTGGATCAATCACAGCCTTCTAAACTCGGTGGATAATGGGCCCGCCCCTCTACCCTTACTCATTAAATTCTGATGGATGAACGGTGAATCAAGAATGCCATGGTATATTGTTATCCTTGATATCATAAATTCGCAAATTTGTGATTTTTAAGTGATAGAGTTCTCTGCTCCTAGCACATGTATTTGACCTGGGGGGAAATTGAAAGTAGTTGTCTAGTATTACACTTAGGTGGTAAATGTGATGAGCATTTTCTGTAAATGATAACATTCGTTTTGAGCAACCAGATCTTGATAGTAGGTAGGTCTTTCCTCAATTTTTCAAACTTTTCCCCATTCAGCTTCCTGTTATATTTCTTCTCCATCAACGTCCTCATCCTGGGGCTGTCTTCCCTGATTTATCAGTATGCAACTTAAATTTCAAAACCTTTTGGTTGGATATGAATATACCTTTGTACTTTTGTTATTTTTGATTTGATGATACAAAGAGAATTATGTTGGCTGGTGTGGAGATGACAACTTATTTGATCGTATTAACAGGTGAACTGGGGAGTTGGTGACAATGCTGCAATTCTTTCCTGTGAATATGGTTATATAATATGTGATAATGTGCTTTAAGAGTGTGTGTATTTTTGATGGTGAAACACTGAAGAAGAGCACAGTTGGTGTTTTGGACTTTAAACTCTAGTATCCCTCCTACTCTCTTTTGATGTAAATAGTAGTAGTACATACTTATGTTTTGATATCAGTTTTTAGTCGACGATAATCTATGCTTTGAATTTCCTACTTTTGTCATGCTCTTGTAATTGTATTTAGTCAAGTGAATGGTTCACTCCAGGGGTTGTCACAAGATGGATGAATAACTGGACCTCGAAAATGTCAATTTAATATTTCTATTTCATACTTAGAAAATTAATCAACTCAAAACTTTTATTTAAAAATATCTCTAATTTTTTATAGTGAAATGATTTTAAAAAGTTAACTGAAGTATCAAGGTTTAAAAATTAGTAATTGGTTTTTATTTGGTTACAATTTTACCACTTTCTCATGATTGTACGAGTTTTAAAATTAAAAAAGTATACCTTTTAACAAAATTCAAACACCAAGATAGTAATATAATAATATTAAAAGATGAAATTTGGATTTATTCCATTGTAAATGTAAATACTCAATTTCAATTTTGAATTGCGTGTATATCTAATTAGATAATTTTCTCTATAATAAAGAATTTCAATTTTGAATTGTGTGTATGTGTAATTAGATAATTTTCTCTATAATATAGAATTTCAATTTTGAATTGAGAGTAATTAAGTTTAATTTATTAATTATTAGTTTATCTTTATCTTGTCCGTTTTCCTTCACATTAGCTACCCGTAACGTACGTATTAACTGCCCCACGTCCCAAACCCCATAAGCCTGACACGTGTTCCCTTTCACTCATTTCCCTGCACGTACTAACACTACACACACATGCACCAATATTATGATGAAGTTTTAAAAATCCACATCCAACCTTTTCAATTTAAAAACAAAAAATTACTCCCTCCATCCCTTTTTATAAATAGTTGGTCTATAATGCTTGTCATTTCATAAAATCAATGCATAAATTACCATATTGTTCCTTTTTTACACTTGTGAGTTATTAGCCGTAAAAAAATATATTTGACTAACTTAGAAAAGCTAAGTAAATGATTCATGTTCATTGACTAAAATTAATTAATCAAAAATAAATTAATTCATATTCATTGATTGAAAACTTGAGTTCCAAAATAATTAAATAAGGGTAGAAGGGTAAAATAACATCATTTCTTAATGCAAATGTGATACGCTAAAATTACACCTCCCTAAAGAAGTATAAGCGATCGTTATCAAGTAAAGAACCCAACTTGTAGGTTGGGGTCGATCCCACGAGGAAAATGGTTTAGACTTTACTTTAACCAACAATTATATTCAATTAGCCAAAGTACTTCCAGAAACAAGTAATAAAAAGGGGGGAATTTGTAAAACAAATTGTAAGAATT